GTTTCAGAGATACATCTCTGAATTAGGGCATTACAATAACAAATACGAGCAACCACCCCTCATTCTCATTTCTTCCAAATTCTAACTATCAATCACCCCAAAAATCTCTACTTTCAAAACTCATTCAAGTTTGTCTACTCATTTGCACTTGTTACAACTCACTCGAACTCTCAATTTCAACAACTCTAAAAGCTTCAATTTTGAGTAAGTTCTCCAATTCCTTTTAATATTTGTGTTTGTATTTTAAGTTTCTTAGTTTATGTATAACCTGTAAAAAGCTTACTTTTATGTGTAAAAATTGGATTTTGGTGTAAAAATGATGTTGTTAGGTTGAAGCTTTGGTTATGGAAGTCGCAGGTTTGTACATCTCCGAAAACCCCTCTGAGGAGTTTCAGAGATGCATCTTCGAAAATAGGCCAAAGTTTTTTTTTTCAAACATGTTCTTGTTCATTCGCTTACATTCGATTAATGATTTTTTTCAATAAAAATGGCAGAGAACCCCAATAGATTGAGACTTGGTAGGCCTAGCCAAACTGCATCCGCTCGACGAGAGAGAGTTGAGTAGACCACGAGGCGTCGAGGATGCGTTCGGGTACCACAAGAGTAAGTGGAGGGAACATCGGCTTCTGATCCGAGGAGTCGCCTTTCACGTGCGTCCTCGTCTAGGCATTATGAGGAGGAGGAACCCGAGCGGGTTCAGGTTCCAGAACCCGAAATTATTGATGTTCCGAAATTCGAGGAGGGGGCTAACCCGGGTTTTCCAAGAGGGTCGTCTGACACCTCCCTCTTGATTTATTACACAAATCATGTCGCTCGATATGTTTCGGAGGGACAAGTATATTAATTTTTGTTACACTTTTCATTTTAATGATTTACGCACTAATATATTAAAATTAATATTAATTATTTATCTTTACATGAACGAAAACCACTAAAGTGCGTGAAACACACACTGAAGATATCCGAGTTGGATCACCCTGATGAGGATTGGTTCAGAGAGGCTATTTTTGCCTCTGAACTTGTCGGCCTTTGTTGTTTTAGTTACACCACCATCAGCCACGACATGCAGGGGGCATTTGTCAAGAGGTGGCACACGGAGACGTCGTCTTTCCAATTTCCTGTTGGAGAGATGATGATCACACTTGATGACATTGCCAGCCCGCTACACCTTCCTATCAGAGGGAGGTTACTTAACCACCCCCAGATCGATCATAGTGATGCAATTGAATGGGTGGTCGACTATCTGGGGCTGAACCAGAAGAGGCATTTAAGCATCGTTCCTCCACCAATGGGGCTCATTCCAAGTTCTCATTCCTTAAGAACCTATATCAAGAGCACCTCTCTATAATAGATGATTCCGAGCCAGAGGGAGATGATTTATTTGTTCTTTATCACTGTCAATGTGTTGTGAGGTGTTACTTCATGTTCTTGGTTGGCACACCCATTTTTATGGACAAAAGCGCCAACTACGTGGATGTAGCATACCTCTGGTACTTCATGGATTTGGATACAGTGAGGGAGTGGAATTGGTGGCTAACTATTTGGTATACGTGTACCAAAAGCCTGAATTAAGCCTCTAACTAGAGGACACGAAAGCCAGTAATTTTCATTCCAACTATTAAATTTAATTTACTATTAATAATTATAATTTGTTCTTACATGAATCTTATTTGTTTTCAGGGATGAATCATTTCTCACTTCCACTGTATCCATGGTTTTGAGCTGGATATGCAATATAGTGAGACATGTTAATGGGTGCTTGGTATGTCCTCTACAGAGGGAACCAAGTTGTGTTATCGTTCCAGGTGTATCTGGATCGGATTGCCCATGATGACATCCTATGGACGCGGTTCGAGGATCACCGGAAGATTATCCAGTTCGACTCTATCTCACTGTACTCTGGGTGGATGGCATGTGGGAGCGCCAATATGGCTAGGTATCTGCCGGAGCAATGCATGTGGAAGTTTGGCTATGTGCAGACCATACCCATATTTCCATTTTAGGACTATTCCAACATCATTCCCCGCCGAGATCTGGTTGACATATTTTAGGACTGGGAGCATCATTTGGTGCTAGTGGAGTGTCGGATGATGTAGACATCCAGTAGTTGGCACTATGTTGAGGGATACGGGACATGGTTTTAGACAATGTCACAACCTATCATGATATCGAATGCTCCTGGACGTCCACCTAGGCCAACTCATGGGGAGATCTTAGAGAACCAGCAGGCCGAGGATGACCTTGTCATTGATTTCTTATTGACTTGTCAGCAGATACAGATGATTAGGCGGGAGGATTTGGACATATACATCATTGACCAGGATGATCCTGAGGCGGTGGCCATTGTAGAGAGGATGGTTGGGGAGGCAGAGAGTGTGGCGGGATACAGGAGACAAAGGAGGGGCCAAGGAGTGAGGATCAAGCATACGCAGTAGGCTATGCCTTTTTTTTCTTCAGAATAATTTATGAATAATTATTGTATTATATTTTATTTCAAATAATTTATTGTGTCTATTATTGTTTTTTATTTCTTATCATTTTCCATTTGCGTTTTTATTATTGTTTTCATCTAATTATTTAACAACACATTGATGATTTTAAAATAATATCACTATCTAGGGTTTTATAGATGCATCTTCAAAATAACCAAATCATGGCGTTTTGGAGAAACATCTCCGAAAATATCACTACATATTTTCTGAGACACATCTTTGAAACACCCTGATTTGAGGTACATTTGGAGATACATCTCCAAAAGATATTTTCGAGTTTTCAGAGATTTCTTCCCACCCATAAGATATGTACAAAGAAATTTCCTATTTTTTCACACACTCAATGATGTGGGATAAACACTGATCAATTTTAAAAAGAACAGTTACAACACTAACTCACCCAAATAATTGAACAATTACACATTAAAACATTATTTACAACCCATGTACTTCCCTAAAATGAAACAACACATCTCAAATCGACGAGTGCTTAGACACTCAACACCGAGGAAGCCAACATCAAACACCTTACCCATATAGATCTCATTTCAAAGGGTCTAACGAACCTCTATCAACATCATATTTGGAGAACTAGTGGAGTAATACGAGACAGTCTTACATCCTTACAAAACTTATGTTTCACGGACTATAAACTAACATAAGATTTAAGAACACAAACCCAACCTCAAACATGCATGGACCTATGAACCAATTCCGAACCCCTAAGCTCACTACCTAAACCCAACATGTCGATTGGGAGATGGGTGTTACAAATTGCTATGGGAGTTTCTTAACCCACTTTTATATGGGTGAAAAAAACTTCTGAAAACTCCAAATTACCTTTCAGATATGTATATCCGAACAAACTCATATTATTGTAAAATAAATGTATTTTCAGATATGCATCTCCTAATAATTTTTTTTTTTTTACAAAAAAAAATATTTTTTGATATACATATCTGAAACATTCACTACTGCTTTGTTTTTTAGTAATTAAAAGGAAGAATATTGATAATTAATATTTGATTTAATGATAACATTTATAATGAGGGAGATATTTGAATCTTTCCATTTAATTTCCTTTTTTGTTTTCAATAAATTTTTAATTAATTGGTGGTGAGAGAAAAAAACTGATCTCAAGAATTTCTAATGTGTTCAATTGATTAAAAATTATTAAAAACAAATAAATAAATTAAATGGAGAGATCTAAATATCTCTATTATTATAAATATTATTGTTTGAAAAGATATATCATTAAATCAAATACTAATTATCAATATTTTCCTTAAATACTTTTTTTTATAATAATAAAGATTCGTTCGGATATACATATCTGAAATTAAGTATTATGTAAAAAAAAAAATTCGTTTAGATATGTATATCCGAATTCAAGAAGTATTATAGGTATTTCGCCAGAGGCCCCTAAAAACACATAATGATACGTAAAGAAATTCCCTAATATGCAATCATCAGGCATATTAAAGCCTTAATTGGGTTGGACTAAATGCCCCTATCCTTATAAATAGGAAGAATTTCTTATTCCACCTCATGTCCAAAAGAAAAACTCTTATCAATTCTGAAATTACCTTTTAAAATCGAAAATATATTTTAAATGTGCACTTTTCTTAAATTACACTTACATAAAATCGAAAATACATTTTCGGTCTAAATCGAAAATATATTTCAGATTTTTATATAAAGATGATTGGTTCCGTATAAACGATGGTTGGTTCAGTATAAAAATCCACTTTATTTTGTTCAAAACCTGCTCCATCTTCCACCCATTATTGCATGACAGCCTTGAATTGAAACTAAGGAGCAAGCAACACTTGCCAGCATTGAATTGGATCTAAGTGACAATATTGCACGAGTTAGTGAATTAAAAAAGGCAAAAGTTGAAATGTTATCGAAAAGGAAATTCTATGAAAAAGAAATTTCTTATATTCACTAAAACAACATCACCGTATATTTCCGAGTTATCTTGAAAGTGTATTTTTGATATCAATTTTATCGTCAAATGAAGTAAATCTCAAAAACGAATGAACGATATGTGTGTAGAAATACGAACTGAAAATATATTTCTGATTTTCAAAAGTATTTTTAGAATTTCGCGTGATTATACACTATATAGTCATATTGCTAACAAAACCCCTCCCTTAAAAGACAAAAATATTTTTGGTTTATGTATTGGGTGAAATAAATTGTTTACATTCTTTGTAAAAAATGATTTTGAATGTCTTTTCATCATTAATAATTTATTCAGTATATCAATTTGATTAACATAATTTTTGAACACTTAACCAAATCCCTGACACAAATAGTATGGCCTTGGGTGGGTGTATGATCGCTCCACATTGATTTTTATGTGTCATCACACCAAAGATTATTTTGACTAGGAAATTAAGGTTTCTCAAAACCTATTTTGCTCATGTCAGAGTGGATATAAGCTCAAAAAAGCTTAAACCCAAACAGGTTCAAAATTAACAGTATATTTCTGTCTTTTTAATTCTATTCTGGAACATTCACTTCTTTTAGAACCTTTGCAGCATCCTCAGGGAAAACTGGATTTATATAACAACCAGTTGCAAGTTCGAAACCCGCCGTCCCAATTAGTTGAGGTACTATCTGTATAAACCAATGAGTGTAGGCCAATTCCGATTCATCACCATGAAGCGGACTAGTGTGAATCATAAAGTTGAACGGCGGATCGTTCAACTGCAAAGATATCTTCCTAAGCATCTGTTTCAACAAACCTCCAAGATCAACTGCCTGCAACATAAATGTCAAGATATAAAGAATAAACTTTCAGACCATAAACCCTGGATCGGAGAAATCACCGCATGTATATTTATTTGAAAATCACGTGCAATAGTGTTACCTTTTCAGCATCCAATTCATGGAAATGAGCAGAGTGATAACGAGGAACAATCCAAATTTCAAAAGGAAATGAAGCGGCGTAAGGCACCAGTGAAAAGAAGTAGGTCGAGGAATCGATCAAAAGATCCTCACGTTGAATTTCACAAACACAACATTTCCCGGTCTCATCATAAAAATCCTTCATGCTTCCAAGGCGGGCGGAAACAGTAGGTGGAATAACCGGCATGGCTATCATTTGACTATGGGAATGAGTCATTGATGCACCGGCTGCAGCACCATGGTTTTTAAACACCTTCAAAGATTAATGAACTCAAGTTATACATTATAACTACATGAAACAGGTGCCGAGAAGAACAGTAATATAATTATGCAGAACCAGCGTTATTCATCATGGTTCCCGATAAATAGATGTTGGTTCAAATTCCGATATACAGGAGTGTTACATTGCTAAGATCAACTCTAATCAGCAAGAATACAATTTGAATTTTAATCTCATACATATTTTGTTAGTCAAATTAGTCCAAACAGCATCAAGCTTAACAAACAAAATACCGATTTTAAGGACTTATGTGATAGCTTCTGTTAGTTCAGACACTAGTAACAAAAGGGAAAAAAAGTGAAGTGATTGAATGTAACCACATGACCCGACGTCATGCTAGAGTCCGGAACTAACACATGTCAGTCACCAAACAACAAAGACTCCCCATAATCGGGAGTTCCTAGATTCACGCAGTCAGCACACCGATCACAGTCGGTTTAAGATTGGATCAGTGTTGTTAAATAGCGGGTATAGCAACATTTACTGTTGCGAATTTGAATAAATTGATATTGTTTAATTGTCTGCATTCCACAATTAACAACTCTACATTAATCCCGGAATGTCAGCTCAGTTGATAGCAGTGCAGATACATCATGCCCAGAGTAAAAAAAACTCAGCAATAATAAATTAACTAAAAGCACCAACTACTAAAAAGAACTACTCTTAACAATGCAAATTAAATTTATTTATCTCTAAATAACAAATTGAAAAACAAAAACAAAAAAAAAAGCATTTTTGAAAACGAACCTGAACGTATTTGATAGAAATGCGCTTAACAAGTTCTCGAATTCTCTTCGTATAAGCAACAAAAACCTCTCCAATTTCATCCCTGGACAAATCACAAAGCTGAACCGAATGAACCGGAGTTTCAATAACAACGTCATGAAACCCAAACCCATCCAAAACCGAACCGGAAGTTGCACCAACCGGGTCTACGAGATCGCGTGAGAGAGCCGGGTAAAGATTCTGAATGACCCGAATCTTCCAGTTCGGGTAATCGGGTGGGACCCGGAAGATTTCGGGTGCGCATTGGTGTTCGTTGCCGATGCAGAAAGGGCAGGTGGTGTTGGGATTAGGGTTTGATGGTGATTTGGATTTGAAGTCGGTGGGTCGTTTTGATCTTGCGGGTGAGAAGATTACCCAGCGGTTGGAAATTGGGTCTTTGCGAAGTTGGGGGTTTTGGGTTTGTGAGGTTGAAGATGACATGGTTTTGGGTTGTTTTTGTTCTTGTTTGGATGGCAACTTGTGAATAAGCAGTTTCATACACTTACATAAACTATACGAAAGCTAGTGTTTTTTGTTTAGGATTTTTATTTATTATAACTTTTATTCATGATTAAAGAATCACTTTTAGATTTTTTTTTTTAAAAACAATAATTATTTTTAGATTTTGCTACTAATGTTTTACTATTTTATTAGTGCTTTTGCTAGTAATTTGTTGTTATATTGTTTCTGGTGTTTGTACTCGATTGTTATTGGATTTTTTTTATTAATTTTCAGTCATTTTGTGTTTTCTATTCTGATCCATTTCACTCATACGTATACGTATGAGACAAAGTGCTTAGGAGAAAGTCTGATGGATCATAGTGTCTGGGGTGTTTGTGGTGTGTTTTGGACAGTTTTAAAGTAAAAAATTATTCAAACCGTAAAAGAAAAAATATGTGGTTCGATTTAGTTTAATTAATTTTTAAAAATAAATTCGAACTAAATTAATATGGTTTGGATTGGTTCAGTTTTAAAAATATATATATATATATATATATTATTAAGCTATACATACAAATATAGAGGAAAATATAATTTTATGTTTAATTGTTCATATATTATCATAAAAAAAATTATAATTGTCAAAATAAATTTATAATTTGATATATAAAATTGTGCATTGCAATTTTATCTAAATATAAAGAATGATATAGACAAGATTGCATTCTTAAATAAATATTATACGAAGAATACGATAAAATATATTTTGTGAAAAGAATATTTATAAATGAATAATATTTTATTTTTTATGATTTGTAAATAAAATAAATATAATATAAAGTATGATAAAATATACATATAATACATGTTGATTTCTCTAAAAAATTAAAGAAATATATGTTGGTTAGTAAGATTTTATAACATAATACGTTTTTGTTTGATTTAGTTTGGTTTATAAAATACAAACCGCAAATCGAACCGAACCGTACGGTTCCGTGAGAAAATGACTCAAAGAGACCCGAACCAAATACGATTTTTTACGGTTTTGATTTGATTCGGTTCGGGTTTATGGTTTTCTATTGCACCGGTTTGATTTTGAATACCCCTAACCGTAACAATAAAGGAGAAACCCATCTTCAATAATGGAGGAAGAATCAATTTCCTCCACTCCCACGAACACGTTGGGAAAATATGGGAAAGTATGAGAAAACCGTTTCTTCACTACTAATACTCGGTCCAATAAATCATATATTTATACTTCAGCTCCAAGATTTGCAGAGAGATTCACTAATTCTCACATTATTCAGTATATAAAGTCTCTTGTAAACCATACTCGTGAGCAAGTCTCCTTTATTGTATTTCACCTCTACTCCCACGAACATGTTGGCATTTGAGAGAATAATGAAGATATAATAGAGAGTTAGAGGAGTAAGTGGGGGTAGAAGTGGAAAAACCTAATTAAGATTAAATTTTAAAAAAAATAAAAAGGGTGAAAATAAGGTGTACATGTTTACAAAGCGAGAGAAGAAACAGAGAGAAGAACAAGCTAGGTGATTGGGTATTTCACAAGTGCACGAAAAATATCAAAGTAATATAAATAGTGTCGAACCCACAAAGACAAATAGTTAAATCTATCGTTACTAATTGTTACGGTGTTTATCTAAGGCGATTGAAATAGTGATTGGAGTTATGCAAATAAAGTAAATAAAAGACTTGAACTAATATCAGAAATGCAATGTTGGAATATCTATCTCATCGATTCGTTGATACTCTTATTGTTCATAAATTGAATTACAACGGGACAATATTTTCTACTTTGAAAAGAATTAATTGAACAGGAACTATCGCTTTCGCGTATTCAGAACCAGATTTTACTCTCTAAATTATACCGTCCATTGTCACGGTCGTAGGCACAGTTTGCGTTAAAGAAGTAAAATCTATTTTAAGAAATTAAACTCTTTTACTCCGATAAAAAATTATTTTGATTGGAAAATAATACTTTAAATGGTTCCCGGTGTTCGCTCGGTCAACCGTACCTTAAACTTACAAACGCGTCCGAAAATAGGTTCAAAAGTACTTTATTAAAATACTAACTTTTCTAATTAATTAACAAATACCTTTCGCGGTTTTTATCAATTAAAAACTAAACAACCTTAATCTTTTGTACTAAACGACTTTCGATCTTAACCGGTGTATAAATGATTCTACTTTCGTAGTAACCGACAATTTTAAGTTTAGAAAAATTATGATTAAAACCAAAACAATCCCATAAGCTTTTCTCAAGAATAACAAATCAGAGTACTGTCGAATCGACAGTCCTCACATTCCAACACTTATAAATTAGTCGGACATAGTTACAGTAAACAAATAAACAATTGATTGGAATACGAGATTAAACATAATGGTGAATTTGATAAAAGTGGTTTTTGAAATATAAGTTGCGAGGAAAGTAAAGGCAGAAAATAAATGGCGATAAAAGTAAATGAACCTGGAATAAGAATTGGAATGTAAAACTGTTCTGGACTGGGCCCGACAGGCCCAAAAGCATTGCAAAGGCCCAGTCCAAACGGACTTACAAGGGCCACGCCGACCAAAGAGTACGACCGTGCCCGACTGATAGTCGCAGGCTCGACAGCACACCTCCAGCTCGACATGCTGCGATCCAGCACCACATCCTGAGGTCCAGCTCGACACTACCTCGAGCACCCCCAGCTAGGGCAGACTCAGTCCACTGTTCCCCCAACGATACCCCGAAAAGACCGCGTCTCCGTCCGCCCGCACTTCACGCAGAACATCCAGGAAGGGGACCACGTGCGGGTCCCCACTACGCACGTAGAACTTGGCAGTTCCTCCATTGGGCCAAACCTGCCCGGCCCAATGAAGGAACCTTGGCCCAGCGCTGGGGGCTATAAATACCCTCTGTTTCCAGAGGGTCAGGTATTGATCATTCTAACCTTACACTTGCTATTATCTGCTCGTACTCCTACTTACTTCAGCATCGGAGTGCCTTGCAGGTACCCCCCCCCCCCACTTCGTTCAAAAAGCTTTCTGCTCGGAGCCAGCCGTGACGGTCCATTTCTGATCAGGTCAGATCAGTGGCGCCGTCTGTGGGAACTAGCTCCCCCGTCTAACGAATAACTCTAAAGACCAAAGCTCAATTCAACTACCTGTCATGGCTGATCCAGCTCGCGACGAGCAGCACGTCCGTGTCGCCGACACTAATAACGGTACCGCGGACAAGAATGGACACCTCGATAACCCCGGTGATCCCGTCCACAGCATCATTCCTGTGACGACCGCCCCTGGAACTTCCTCCTACAGGGACGGGGCTACTGCATCATCCTCCCTGACCCCACCACTACTTGAAGACGACCCGGTAGCTCTCGCTCATTACAGAGCTGCCCGGTTCCATGAAGTCCCAGTTCCCGCCGGGGCAGATGCCACGACCCAGGCACTGTTCGCGGCCATTAATCAGACAAACTATCTCATCTTCGCCCAAGGAGAAAGACTAAGGGCACTTGAAGATGATCGACGACCCCCGAGGAGGCATCGGAGGCCACATTCTCCACCTCCTCGGGTCACAGAGGTTCAACACCCTTCTCCCCCGCGGAGACACTACAGGGAGAACTCCAGGAGCCCCTCTCCCCGGCCAAAGCAGAGGCGGCCCTACTATGAGAGACAGCCCGCCATCCCTGCCGGAGAACCCAGTCGCGACCCGTCAAGGCACGATAAGAGGCACGCCGGGGACGGGCGTGTGACATTCAACCACCGAGCATCACGCTCGAGGGAAACCCAGCACGACCACTGTGCCAGACAAAACTACAGGTCCCCATCTCTTTCTCTGGAGAGGAGCGACGAGGACGCCTCCCGCGGTCCCCTGTCGCAGGCCATCATGGATGCACCCATCCCCCCGGGCATGGAGAAGCCCCCGCATCTGAAGGAGTATGACGGAGTAGCGGACCCGGTCGACCATATTGACGGGTTCGAAGCCATGCTCCACTATCATAATGTCGGGGGGCCCATCAAATGCCGTCTTTTCCCCACGACTCTCAGGAAGGCGGCCATGGACTGGTATAAAGGACTCGTCCCGGGCTCAATCACATCGTGGCGGAACCTGAAGAACCAGTTCATCAGTTCCTTCACAGCTTCTCGGCGCCATCCGAAGACCGAGGCGGCCCTCGAGGCCATCATCCAAAGACAGGATGAAACCTTGAGGGAGTTCATTAACCGCTTCAACCGAGAAGCAATACAGGTCTCCTGCGCGGACCACATGAAAAGATACTTGCTGGAGAGGGGTCTCCTCCCCGGCACAGAATTCAGAAAGGCTGTGGGTATTGAGCCACCTCCGACTTTTGATGCCCTCCTCGACAAGGCCCGAGCATACATGGACTACGAGAAGAGGGAAGCTGCCAACAGGGCCCGGGACTCCAGGGCTCGAGGTCCCAACAACAGCAGCAGCTCACGACAAGAGGCTCCTCCCCGACGTACCGGGGAGAAAAGGAAAGAAGATCGACCCCGGGAAGCCCGGGAACAAAGGGGCCCCTCGGGTCGTTTCACCGAGTACACTCCGCTCACAGCTTCCCGCGAGCGTATTTTGGCGGAGTGTGCCAGTACAGATTTCAGAGACGGTGGCGTCAAGCGTCCCCGACCTACTCCCGCCAAGCCAGGGGCGGATAAAAATAAATACTGTCAATACCATAGGAGTCATGGTCATTTGACAGAGGACTGCGTCCACCTCAAGGACGCCATTGAAACCCTCATCAAGGGAGGGAGGCTCGCGCAGTACAGGCGAAGCGACGCTCCCCGTCGTGACGCCCATGAAACCAAGGAGCCCGAAGAAGACGCCCAACCATCAGACGAGTCGGTGCCTATTCAGACCGCCTTCTCGGTAACCAGGCCCAAGGACTTCGACATTCCCGAGCTCCTGCAGGAGCCGCTGACAACGCACAGCAGGTGGGAATACTTTCCCTCCGCCATGGTCATCAACGGGGGCGGGTTTA